CTCTCATTACAAACATAGCCACTTACCCACAAGCCTGGGCAAAGCTAAGATATGGGTGGCAAAAAGAAGCGTATAAGTTATAGACAGAGATGTAAAGAATAGGTACAAACTGCCAAAGTGGTGATGGGAGCATGTAAGCATTGCGTACCGCCTAGTTTCTGGATATGTTTGCCATGAGAACACAACAAGTTATTCAACACATTCTAGACCTAATGTAGTTTCTTACCACAATTTACACATTTGATGTACCTGTAAGCATAAAATGTACCACCAAATGTCATTGAATTTTAGCAAATTATGAAAAATAAAGTTATGTTGCTTTTTTAAAAAATCTGTGCTGAGTACAGTTTGTCTTAATTGATAGTCATAGTCAATCCAAAAATAGCACTGCTAAGTGTTGCAAGACATTTATATCACCTTGGTGGTTAGTGATGTCTATGATGAAAACTGCCTCGACAGAGACCTTCGCCCCCCTTCTCTAGCAAAAAAAATAGTTGGCAACCAACTGTTTAAGAGTGACCATGTAGTTATGATGAAGATCACCCCTGAATAATTCTGAGCACTCTCAACTTTTTGCTATGCTGCCTGTAGTCTGCTTCTTGCTACAGGGTCTGATAGGGAGAGTATGCACTAGCTGCTCTCCAGCGTCTGGTCTTTATTCCTCCAGCGCAGGCTCATTTCCCAAACAGTGGCTTGAAATCAAGCCTAGAGGATGTGCACTTACTTCGGTGAAACATGAACACAGAAAAGGCAGTTTATGGACAAGAAGTGCACACTGCACCGTTGTTTCATTCCAATCCATTCTTGAGTTAAAACTGGCATACTCTTTTCCAGACGTTTAAGAGAAAAGCAGACTGCATGCCAGACTGCAAGCGGTTAAACTTTTTTCAAACTATGCGCAAATGTTTTCAACAGTTTTTGCAACATATTTCCTTAGTGTCCCAATTCCTTAGTTTAGATCTCTGGCAAAACTTTCACGTTATCCAAACAGGTTTATTGAAGTTCAACGGTGTACAGTTCAACCGTGTTAAACGGCCACCCTGGTAAAAACGATAGGTAAAAACAGTAGAAAGTCCTCATTAGGACTTTGATTACTGGCCGCCTAATAGGGGGGTGGTGGGGGGTTTGTGTTTAATAGGTGGCCGCTGGTGGCCGACTGCAGGGCTGAGCTTTGATGAATATGCCTACTTTCTGATTCTCACCCTGCACCCCTTGGCAGGCCGTTTTGGTTTCAAGGTAGAGTTTCTTGGAAGCTTTGAGCTTTGAATATGTTGGGTAGCCTGTACAAAGTAATCCACAAAAGTTGAGACCCGGTATACACCTTATTCCAAAATGGCGGCCAATTTCTTATTCTTTTGTCTGCATGTTTTAATTAGCCCTCTTTGCCTCATTTTCACTTCAAAATTCTTTTGTATTTTGTACATGTTGACGGGGCAAAGAGGGCTAATTACCATGTAAACAAAAGAATAGTAAACTGGCAGCCATTTTGGAATAAGGTTTATAAGTTCCCACGACGAGGCAGAGGCAGTTTGAAATATTGCGTGACCATAGTTGATAGAGGGGTATATCGTGACAAAGAAACGTTGACTTGACCATTGCGTGACTAGCTGGGTTGTTACGTTCGTGCTCGCCGAGTTATGTAAGCAAAGTGAGCATTGACCATGCCGCCGCTAGCTGGTTGTATGCAAACTTTTTAAAATTATTAGCCATGGGCCCAAAAGAAAGCGACCACGACTCAATTCCAGCTGAGGCAAAAGAGATGGAGCGAGACAAAAGCCAATTTACAGTTAAGCTTGTAGTCCTTGTCAACGCGTTCCTGTTCTCAACATGCTTCTTCATGGATAACTCTGTTTTTCCAGTGAGTATTTTCCGTGAATGCATTTTTATTGTCTTCGTTAACACACCAAACGGCCGATTTTCTCGGCTTCAAAAGTTTAAGCTTTTATGTATTGCACCTCAGCGAAGTTTGCACACGTTGCAATGTGTATCTGGGCGTCCTTGAACTACATGTTCTACGCAAACATAACTCAAATTCGAAGTTGGGAATAATACAATAACGGTTATGTTCGTTGCAGGAACTAGAATGGAACCTAATTGGTTGGAAATACTCCTTAGTCGAACTTTACAAGTTCATTTATTTTACAAATCAAGAAACAGGACGTGGTACCCTGCGAGCAGTTGGCTTCTCCGTAGGAGAAACCAACTGCTCGCAGGGTAGGGACGTGGGGGCGCTGAGGGGGTGATTACATGGTGAATTTCAGCCCGGTTACGTGGGGTGGGCTTAGATGGAAACAAGTCCTCTTGTAATTAAAATGGCGATTGAGAAGGTGTAAGTCCGGACTGATTGCGACGTTTGAGAACTCTGCAGATAGGGTAGGGCGCCCTCTCATCTTAAAGGGGCAAGATAAGTTACCTTTTTCAAATGAGACAGGGCCCACCTCCACTCCCAGGGGGCAGGGGCTATTCCCTAAAATGGCCTATATAGGGAGGCTCTGCCCGAAATGGGTACCTTTTTCAGGCTTCAGGTATATAAATGGATAGGGTTTCCACAAGTTGACTGAGGTATATGAAAGGTTAGGGAAATCATTTTGTTATTTAAAAGGGTCTTTAATTAAAATATTTCGAACAGATATACCTTATGGCTGTATCATTAAATGTATTAGGCGTTACATGAAAATGACAAGAAGATTTCCTTTTTATTATTTATTAACAATATGGGCCAGTTATGAAAGCATGTGAAAGGGGCACCTTTTTTCAATTTAAGGTATACTTAAAGGATACCTTTTCTGTCAAAATCAGGTATGCAAAAGGGTAAGGGGTTGGACCTGGGAGGGGAGCCTCCCTATACAAAACTTTGAAGAGTAACCCCCAGCCTCGACTGAGCCCCCCTGTTTTGAGAAAGGCCCACTCTACCCTAACCTCACTTTCTACTACTGGAGATGTGGACCTCTATCTTCATTATCATCATCATCATCATAGACGCTCTGTTTTGTTCCTACTAGTACATGGCCAAGCGCCTTGGAGCTGATGTGGTCACCTTAGGTTACATGAACACAGCATTTTCCTTTGTCCTCATGTGTGGAGGACCTCTTTATGGAAGATTTGGAGATGTGTTTGGAAGTCGTATGGCTCTCATGTTGTCTTGTTCTGCTGCTGTGTTAGCCTATGGTATTCTTAGCCTGGCAAACTCAGTGCCAATGCTTTTTTTGTCCAGAATTCCTATGGGCTTTATGCATACCTTTCAAGGTTAGTAGTCTTGATTCCTTCCTTCACTGGATTTGACAGTTTCCTTTTTGTGAAGTAACTGAGTGACAGCTGGCCATGAAGTTGCAATCTATTCTCAAGACAAGGGGGAAGATTCTCATATAAAAGGTTGGGGATGCTCGTCAGAAAATTTGGGTGTGGCACGAGCTTTATTTGACCCCTAAAAGATACCACTTAAAAGAGAAATGGCAGAATTTTTAAAAATTAATTATTTCTTTGAGTTCTCTGTAAAAGATACTCTGAACACCCTTAGATAGACTGGCAAAATCCATGATTTACAGCCAAAAGCGAGACAAGGAGCATTTCCAACTTTTTCATAGGGTGATTCCCCACCCTGGAATCTGTTTCCTGAAAAAAGCTCTTTACAGGAAAAAATATACTGTCACTAGTCACATCCATGGATGATGGTTCTTTAATTATATTAATGTATTTAATATTTCAATGTTAATTAACTTATTGTATTGACTGTGACTGTTTTTATAGGTCTACAGATGGTAATAACTGACATATCAGATAAAACAGGTATAATAACGTCACTGTAGACCAGTGTTGTACATTTTTTTGTTTTGTTTAATTTTTCTGAATACAGTAATAATGACTTGAACTAAGTAATTTGTTTTGAGGTATTGTCATGTAACTGTCATGTAATACTAAAAATATACAATACAGCCACAATCATGGACAAAAGTAGTTGAGACACTCCCCAAAAAAGACCTGTTTTGTTGAATGCATGAGTTTTTCCATCTCAAGTTTTCACATTTCGATCCCCTCTCCCCTTTTCAATGTTGTAACCATGTGACAGTGTCCACGGAGCGTATTTCAACATTGAAAAGGGGGAGAGGGTGAATCATTGGCTATTGACAAAAAGGATGTTTTTTTTCAATTACGGAAGGATACCGATAGAAAGTGTTTGTTTTCCTCAAATGTGTCAACACTTTTGTCCATGATTGCAGCTCTGAAATAATAAAATTCAACTTTCTTATAGATACACTACACAAATAATTTGTGTTGGCAATCAGGTGCCACATTTTTTGAGGTGAGGAAGAGTGAGCCCAACTCTATTCCTCGTATTGGCTTCTCAGCTAGCTTATTTTACCATCATTTACTACCACAGATATCAGTGATGCAGGCCAAAAATAAATAGGCCTGCATTGCGTGTACATTAAACTACCAGTAATGGATACATTTACAAGATCTAGAGTATTTGGGCAGTTATTCATAGAAAATTATCAAATAGAGCTCATAGATAATGTGACTTTATTGTATACACCATCAGTATCATGTTAGTGTAGGGCAAAAAAGACAAAAACAAATCACCAAATAGGTCTGCAATCTGTGCAAAATGTCTAACTTAAGGTTTCCCAATTTTTCTTTGGACAGTTGTTTTGTTTAATTGTTTATGATAGATGGAGTACGCCATTATGTAATACAGTGAGTTAAAGAACAATGAAATCTAGAATAAAATATAATTTTAACTGGTCTGGAACGAGTTTTTGACATACAGAGAAGCTGTTTGACTGTTTTTCTCCTGACAATCATTCAGGCATAAGTCAGGTGATCTGATGCCAGAAACCAAATTTAGTTTCTTAAGATACTGTAACGTACTGCATTGGCACTGAGGTAGGTGTAATACTTAGTCAATTATCAATTGAAAATGCTAGAAATGTAATCTGTTACAATTTTTGTTAATAGCAGTTAATTTACATTATATTAAGTTCAAGTTTATATTTTTAGGTAGAGCTGAGGCTTTGGGTAAACTTGGTTTAGCTTTCTCTCTGGGAATCATGGCTGGCCCAATGACAGGCGGTGTTGTGGCCGAAAAGTTTGGTGATCGCATGGTTGCATTTACAGCTTCAGCCTTATCAATATCCTCTGTTATCATGGTGCAGTTGTTCCTACCCAAGAACACAAAATCAAAGATTAAGAAAGAAACTGCAGTTTCAGGTACGTTGTATGTATATTTAATACCCATGAGATCTTTTACATGTAGTTAGTTATCGATTTGTAGTAGGACTCTAGATTACAAGGCCATTCAGGTTAATGATTGGGGGTGGCCTGCACCATTTAGTGTCCTTTTTATTGCCAATTTTGTACAGTTTTAAGTGACAGCAGTAGTTCTCATGCAATCTCTTACAACAAAGGTCATGACTAATTATTAACTATGCTCCGTATATTTAATTAGGGTTGAACTCTTACTTTGTATGTCGATGTTATGACGCTCACATACTGAGCCTGGGCTTCCTGTGGATCCAGTGGAGAAAACGGAAGTGTGGGGAACTTAGTCTCCCATCCAGGAGGAGTACAATATGCAGTGATATCTCCTGTATTACTGATTGTTTTTGTTTTCTTTGATAGATTCTGAACACCTCAATAAGTCTGGCATGAGCAGAACATTAGAGATGTTAAGTAAGCCGAAAGTGATGTATCCACTGGTATTACGTATGGCTGCCATGTTGCCAACGATATTGCTGCAATCCATGGGTTCAGTTATTGCAATGGAGTATTTCAAACTTGGCCCTCGAGAGAACGGTCTCCTACTTGCGGCCATTGGATTAGCTTCAGCAGTATGTTTAGAATATATATTATTTAATAATCAAGTCTTTTTATAGACAGTGGAATATCAAATTTTCCAAACTCCTGGGGAAACAAAAATCGTTTTGCAAAAAAACAGATAGTTCGAGAAATGGGGTAAAATTACAGTGTTTGACTGAAAAGAGGGAAATGACTTTGGTTCGAGTTATCGGGAGGTTTGAACAACAATCAAGGGTTCAAGAAATCAGGATTAGACTGTATCCTCTTTTTAACAGAAGATATATATTAAACATGTTAGAAAAAAAAAAACACTTGTCAAACAACAAAGACAAGTTTTGGCATTGTGCTTGTGCTATCTTTGAAGTTTAGTGAAATTGAATATTGTATGATCATATAGCTAAATTATAAGTAGTAAAAATAGACATGAAAGTCACATGAAAAGATGGTAGTCATGAATCACTGTACCCAGTTGCATTCTTGGTTTATTTGATAGAACTTTTATTAGATGGATGTCACTGCACTTTCATTACTGTTAACAATATTAAACAATTATTGGATGAGGTTTTTGTGATATCAAGAATAATCAAGATTGAGGTAGGGGTTATCAGCTGAATCTGAAGGCTGAGGTTGATAACCCTTACCGAGACAGAAAAAGGGAAGTCATGTTTTTGCTTCTTCACTGACGGCAAGCAACACAAAGTGTGTGAACTTGACATGATCACCCTTAAAATCATGCACCGCGGTCATACATGACATGATTACCCATGACCTTGAGTGTCTTTGACATGATTATGGTATAATCTGCAGTTACGACGTCACAGGCGCTGATTTCGAAAATTCACTGTACGCTTTCGGCCAATCAGAAAAGAGATAGTGAGTTCAATGTATAATAATCATTATTATTGTCACTATCACTCCAGCCTTTAAATGAATTATGCCTCTATTGTCTAATGTTATTGTCCTTGGGTTTAGATAGTTCAAGGTTTTGGTATTGGCATGCTGTCAAGAAGATTTAGTGACCAATCTCTTCTGTTGCTTTCCTTTTCTATTTCTGGTTGTGCATTCAGTATGATGGTAGGTGCTTGAAGAATAAATAAATACTAGTAGTAATCAGAGATTTTGAGAGTGCGTTCGACGCTCTCACTTTAATATATAATTATATATCGTAAATGAATGATTTCACTAGCTGACTTTCAACCTTTGTCTATTGCTAAAATCAACATTTTTCAGCAGCAACCGAGGTTTTACAGTCAGATATGCTTAGTGTCAAAGTCCATGCCAGTTTCTGTAGTCTCTCAAGTTTCACAGAATATTTAAATTACGTACATTATTCTAAGCTAGCATTTGCAGTCGCGTGCTCGTTTCGCGACTAATTCGAGTATTTCCCCCGATGAATAAAGTAGTCATATGGATCTTGCCCTCAGAGCACTTTTCCACCGATTCCAAACAATAAAATTTCGACCGGATAAAGACTGAGCTATCTGTTGCGACTGGAACCAATCAACAAATGCAATCAAAATGTAGCTGTTCCCACGGTTTATCATTCCAAAGCCAAGTCGTGTTAACAAACAAGGACAATTCCCTCAGATTGCGATAAATGCTGCCTTCGAAGCGTTTAGATTCACCAAAATCTAACGCTGAGAGGACATAATAGCGAGGCGTACGGCGACTGAATGGAAAGAAGTCAAAAAAAGATCCATCGGATAGACGAGCTCACATGGCCTGCTCATATACTTACATGTTCGCCACATGACTCATCACATGTCTTAGCATTAAACGGTACCAGTTTACTGGCCGTGACATGCCCCTGCAAAAGTCAAGCAGGGTGGCCATTTTGGTGTCCTTACAGGAATGTGGTTTTTTTCAGCCTAGAACCGTGCACAGGGAGAACAACTCTGAAAAGCCACAGGTCAAAATTAGGTTTGCGTTCCACTTCGTCGAACGCAAATATTTTAATTTAACAAATTGTTATGATTTTGTAGTTCAGATCAGCATTAATTCTGGTGATACATCAAAATATTGATATTTTTTCGCACACCAAAAAAATTAGAATTATAGTTATTATCCTGATGTGTTTTCAATGTGCTTAAAAATATAACTATATTTTAGACATTTGGGTTAGTCAAAGAGTTGACAACTCCTGCTGCAGTTTTATTTGCAGATTGACCCCAATCATCTGTCAATAATTCTTTTAATAGTTCAACTATTGATTAAAGAATGACATAACATTTGAATTTTGCTGATCTTTTTACTGTTTTTATTGCAGTGTTTTGCCACACACACATTTCTTTATGTTGTGTCTCAAGTTACCATGGTAATCGGGTTCTCCTTAATGCGCACCATTACAACTTCCATGGCAACTAAAGCTGTCAATGCTCATGATACTGGGCTTTTGTTGGGGCTGAATGCAACCAGTGAGGCCTTTATGAGGACAGTAACTCCTGCAATTGGAACCTTTATGTTCTTAAACTATGGCTGGCAATCATTTGGTACCCTGGGAACTACCATTGATTTTGGTGTGGTTGTAATACTACTGGTCAAGGGACTAAACTAAATACAACTGTTTTGACAAAGGTTGTCCCACAAAAACATAAAAGCGTACGTGACAATGCCGATTGGTATCATGGGTAGAATGAGTTTCGCGTTGATTGATTGACGCTCACGGTGTTTACCAACAAGAAAAGAGAAGACATAAATACATTTGTTTGTGCTGTTTCCCACTATGTTGCTGAAACACCTAAAGCCTCAATCAAGGACCACAAACCGCCATTACCCATAATAACTTTCGGCATTGTCACGTACAGTTTCTCGAAACAACTGTATGCACGGGTACTGAAATGTTTTATTAGTTCCAGAAAATATCCACACCAACTCCATGGAAGGTCACTGGAAATTTTGAGGGGGTGGGGTCTTGAAAGCCAAAAGTTTAAAAGAAAAGTACAAAGCTGAACTATCTAGACTTCCCAGTTGAATGGGGATTCAAACCAAACTATGGAGAAGGGGGCATAGATATTTTCTGGAAAACAAACATTCAGTCAGCAGTATAACACTCTGATCTTTTTAAAATTTGAATGATTTCCATCTGTCTGCCAGGTTTAGGAAGCGTTCAAGTTGTTTGCCTTGCAGAGTTCCAGATAGGTTTTTTAAAGGCAAGGTGTTGTTTAGGTATTCCAAAATTAAGTCAATAGATGTGGGCATCACCAATTCATTAGAAGTTTTCTATTAATTAATATTTTTATTCACGTGTGGTAGCGGAACTTGTCAGGTTTTTGACTTGAGATCCCTCTCATATCTCTCTGATGTTTATTTATCTGCTATTCTAAAAGCTGTATTCACACAGTCGCCCACCTGGCAATGAGCCTGGAAAAGTGCCAAGACACCAAGTTTCTAGGTGCTATTACTAAATATGTTACTATTGTGTATATAAATTACATATTGCTCTATTGAGTACAAGGACAATAATAATTAATACTTATTTAATTTGTTTGATGAATGTATTCATAATAATGAATCAAATAAATTACAGTGATAGTTTGATGAATGTACAAATAATAATGAATTAAATAAATTAAATACTTGTAAAGTTGAAAACTTCACACATTTTCATATAATGTTTTGACTAAGCAAAAAGTTTTAACAAGGATAATTTGAATAGGAAAAGTAGCTGGGATTGCCAAATGACTACTTCCCATGCATCTCAAGAAACAGTGACATAAGTTTACTACACCTAAGTAATTAAATAAGAAGAGTTCGACTTGTCTACCGAAGCACTCTTCTACTTGGAAAAGAAGTGTTCTTTGAGATATATCGACCTCCACTTGCCTGTAAGGCACGTTGTCTTGGAGGTGCTGGCCTGTTTACCGTGTTCTGGCATTTAGGAATGTGTCTCTCAGCTACAGTTGGTGCAAAGCGTCTCTGGCAGAACCTGCAGAGTATGTAATCTGGATTTTCACTTGGGGGTGGAGGGGGTAAATCTGATGCCTTACCACCTCGCTTTATGTGTTCTTGCACCTTCTTGGCATCTCTGATGGCATTAATAAATTCCTCTGCAGACCAACAAGTAGTAATAGAAAACTTTTGTTAGTAAAAGGTATTTACACTATCACATTGAAACCGCAAGTAAGAGTAAACAACACTGAAGTCTTCCATAATAAGTCACTTAATTATACAGCTATGAGTGTTTTAATGAAAAATACACCACTTGTAAAATGCATACAAAACTAAATCCAGGACCCAAGAGGCATATTTACTAGTGAGGATATTGATTCATGACATCATTTTTCACTTTTTCATAGTTTGTGCAAACAGTTGCAGTTTGTCTAGATATAATAAAGGAAAGGAAATTACATGGTGGCTTGAAGTTATGAATTTCATTTTCTCCTGTTTAAGGCAAAGTTTATTCACTCACTGTGCTCCTGCATAAAATATTGTTTTTTACCCCTGGATATAAGATTGATTCATGTCTTCGCACTGCCCTGTAATATCCTCTATATAATTATATGAAGTATCTACCGCCTCATAGAGTATCAAGTTGGAGTCATTTCAGTCGGAAATTAGCCAGGAACAATGAGACTAACTTTTTGAGAGCTGAGGCCCATTTCTTGAAAGCCCTGGAAACTTTTTGGGCCCGCAAAGCCATTTTTAGTTAATCGGTATTTAAAGACAAAGAGATGTATACGTCTGAAACTTCTTGTATGAAGGGAACCTTTGTTTACATCAAGAAGATGTGCATAAAACAGCTCTGAAGTCATAAGGTTTGAGATTTTGCTTCGCCTTTTTGGGTGCAAAAACTTTTCAGGACCTTCGAGAAATGGACCCCTGGACACCACAACTGGCACTACCAAAAATTCACAATGGTACTTCCTTACCATGTTTTTTTCTCCAGTTTGATTTGGGTTTAGGTGGATCAGGAGCCTTTCTTGCTCTGTGCCTGTTAAACTGTGCTGCCTCAGTTCCTTGTGTCCTCATTTTGGAGGAATCAAACACCTTCCTTTGTTTATGACTACTTTTGTTACAAATAACTTCATGTTTTGCCAAGCGTTCTGCTGCAAAGGATCGACCACAGTTATAACAGCAGGCCAGATTCAATGGCTTGGCAGCCTGCTCAGTGGGTAGGCTAGACAGGGCAGGGGAACCACCCCTGATATTGTACGATGGGGATGGCACTCGACCATTGGACATGGGTTGCAACCTGGCTGGATGATGAGTAGAAGCTGGAGGTGTAGACTTTTTGTTGCTTGGTGAAGATTTGCTTTTTATAAATGTTCTGTCCTTTATTAAAGGCCCAACATTGTGATTTTGGTCTTCATGACGACTAAGGGGACTCTGCCTACCATACTGTCCACTGTGTGTAGAATTCATACCTCCATGGGTACTAAGAGGGGAAAGTCTCTGAGCTGTATCTGCAAAAGTCAGAAACCAAAAGAATTGTATTATATTTTATTACACTGTAACCAAAATTTTTGTCCATTTCTACTGTCCTAATATCCTGTGGTATTAATTAAGTGACTGACCTGATATGGCTACAAAAATCATGGTCACTTGGTCAAACTTGGGTAAAGTAATACCTTTTTTACAATAACTGCAGAAATTCTCACACGTTTATTGGCTAATTTTTATTGTCAATAAGCGAACAGACACATGAATTTATAATTTAAATGTGATGCGGCAACGAGTGATAGCAGACAATTTGACAATTTGTTATTGTAAAAAACAAATTGACTTCAGTTTTTCATGGTCTGTCCTGTTAATGACAATGAATTTCGAGGCCATAGCCAAGTGGATCCACAGGCTACTTTGAAAATGTTACAATGAAATTCATGATCAATAACAGGACAGACTCATTAAAACCTAACGTCAACTTGTTAAATTGACTGTACTTTTTTGGTTACACTTCAGTGGCATACCAGGCTTGTTTGGTCTAGCCATAGTTATTTTGGCTTGATCACTTCTTGCCAAAATATCAACCATGGCTTGACCAAATTAATTTGCCTGATGTGCTTTTATTTTGGAATTGAGATTGATCTGTACTGAATTTTCAAAATTTTCCAGCTTGGAAAATTTTGTCCTTTTTCTTGCAAATATATTTCAGGGTCATAGCCATTGTAACCTGTTTTGTCTATGATTTACTACCTGATATATCAAGTGACAATTCCCCACCTGACTGTCTAAGCGGCATTGTCTTGCTTCCAGGCTTGCAGGACCTCATGTGAATTTCAAGCCTTTCTGGTAGAAATGTTCTACCGCAGTTTCTGCAGGGAACCAGCTGTTTCTGTGATGACTCATACGCCAACTGATTCCTACGACCAAGGTCATCTCCGCCATCCCCTGACAAACTAGGCAATATGTTGGGTTTGACTGGGGGTGGTCGACGTAAATGCTTAGGTAGCCGACTGTTCTCAAGTTCCCATTTTTTCAAACACTGTGGTTCATGGATACCTATAGATTTGGTACCAAACTCTCTTCCACATATGAAACAAACAACAGTTTTAGGCTTTCTTGGGGGCTGGGGACTCCTCCTTCCATAATCAGCCTCTCTGGGTGAGCCCTGTCGACCTGACCCCATCCTGGAAGGATCAAAGGTTTTGGACATTTTCAGAGTATTATTAGGTCTACAGCTCCTCTGGTGAACAGGCAAGCGATCTGGGTTGAACGTGCGTCCACAGTTTTCGCAAGGAATAAGTTGATTCTGCGATGCTTGGAAAGCCATGTCGTTCATGGAATCAAGCTGTGCTTCTCTAACCCGCGGGTCACTGGATAGTGGTGTATTTCCCCAGCCCGCTGGTTTTTGGGGTGGTTTTCTCCGTAAATGTCTCGGTAACTGGCTGTTTTCCATCTCCCATTTTTCCAGGCATTTTGGAATGTGCAGTGAAATCGACGTCGTACCGTACAAACGACCGCAAATGTAGCAAACGACATGAGGTGGTCGCCTGGGAGGCATGGTTTGTTTACTAATGTTTCATCGCATTAACAGGTTCGCTAACTATACTGTCGCCTACAAAAATTGACGAGAGACTCTAGGAATGATTTTTCCTCGCGGGATTAAATTATAGCAAACCAAAGTTGACTCACGACAAAATTTTTTGTCCTACGGTTTCCTCTCAGTTTAGCTTCGAATCTTTTCGATCAAGACTGACCATTCCCAAAATCATAGGTGCGTTTGGTGATGCGTCGTGAAGGGAATATTTGCGTTATTGTCCCACAATGACAAAATGCAGTCTATTCATGTGTAAAACAGCTTCCACATATCCAGGGCAACCGGCATATGCTGGCAATGCAAACTTTCCAGACTTTTCGAAGACGAGACTAATACGTCAAACTTCTAATAGAATGAGGAAATACAGCGAAGTCTTCTGGGCTATTAAAGTGGTTTTGTGGAATACTTCTTGTGGGATAATTTTGATAGGACAAGTAAGTTTCAATTAACACCGTCAAGGATGTCCTTGCCAACGTTCTCGTGCTAGTCTTCCCAACCTAACACCTGCTCTAAAACCACAGGTTACCCAGGATTTCACTGTGTTGTTTTCATTTCAACAAGAAGGTCTGCAACACAATATTGAGCTACCCTGAGTTTAAGGAAGCATACACAGGTTATACAAGATCATACAAGCTGGTCTTTTTGAGATTTTCTGCCACTTACAAATTTTGAAGAAAAAGAATTACAGCTGTAAAGTGATACAGTCAGATAACTTATTAGTGTTTTGTTCATTATCTTACATTTCATACAAAAGAGTAAAAATTTTGTGCAGTTTTTCCAGTTTAGTTTCTTTGCATTGTTAAGCTCCATTTTAATTCATTTTTAATATCCTGATTGCCATTTAGCCTGGGAGGGGGTGGGGAATTTTGTACGAAGTTTTTGTATGGAGAGGCACCGCCCCAAGGTCTAACCCCTCACTCTTTTGTATACCATTTTGAAAGAAAAGGTAACCCATTCATATACCTTTTATAGAGAAAAGGTACCCCAATGCTGCTGAAGGAGTGTTGTGTGACATCCCAAATAAGGAGTGTAGAGACTAAGAGATCAAATAAGCTGGAGTTTGTTTGAACCTTTTTATTTTAATCTTTCTATAGTACATCATAATAAAGATCTAGCTTTATTTTTGGATTTTTTCAGTATGTTATTAATTTCATCAAGCCCTAACTAAACATGTTTCATACCTAGGCTACTGGTGGGGAAACATCATCCCTTTCTCATGCAGTGACATAGTTTGGGACACTTTAAATAATAAACTATTACTTCACTAGTAATTCACTCATTGTTAAACACAAACTAAATGCCATCCTTTACATATTAAAATCAATTAAACTAAGTTGAACATTTTAACACCTTATTTCCAGCACAAAGATTTACAGTAATTATGACCCTCAGGCCAATATTTTTTATGCATAAAAGTTATGTACATCCGAGAAACACCTTGGCCAAACTTTGGAAATAAACTATAATTTAGAGAAACAAGCCTAGAATTTTACGAAAGCCAGGCAATTTTTGAACTAAGTTTCACTTCCACAGGAATGTTAGCCTATGAGCAGGCTCTTCGCATGACATTCTTGCAACACAAACGGCCTGTTTGCAGGCTACAAGAATGTTAAAATTTTAACTTTGTTCATAGCAATTTTCTCTGGCTGGGGGTTAAGAGTGGCCTGTGGAGAGGGCCACCATTATTTTTAACTCCTGAAAATTTAGTCAAGCATTTTTGTCCGTGCTTTTAAAAGTGTGTTTTGGCTTCAAAAAATCTAACGAATCTATTGTACAGTACAGTCAGAAAAAATGTGTGCACATTTTAAATCCAAAGAAGAGATTTGGAGGACCTGTTCTAAAGTTTTACACATCTAGTCATTTAAATCAATTAAAAATAAAATGTAACGGCGAAAGCGAATAAAAGAACAAGATTGTACACTTGCAAATTTGTGCCTAACTGTACACTGCTACACTTATTGCATTATTACCCAGTGAAAGAGTAACTGTGGAATGGATGTACCCTGAGACATTTCTAATGATCATTTCATCCTGAAAAGAAAAATGTTTCAAACCAGATATAACAAAATCCCTTTACAGAAAAGACTGATCATCTAAATATATCAATGATTCAAGTTTAACATATTTGTACATAATGCCTTTTAAAGTTCCTAAATTCTGATAAAGGTGAGAACGCCTCACAAATTAATTTTAATTAATACATTTCCCACAGTGACAAAGCAAAGCCCCTTTACATCTAAAGGAAACAGCAAAGTCGAAAATTTTTACATAATTTCCCTGGTAATTATTATTCCCTGGAGATTTAATTTTAAGGACATTCACCCACCAAATCCTAACGTCTCCTTTTCAACTTTATATAATTTTTCTTGTTGAGTGACAATAAATAGGAAGGAGTTGTAGTAAGAATAAAATAATACGAACTATAAAACTTTTACTTTGATTCATCATACTCCAGTAAAGCAAAGCTGAAAATTACATTTGTAAATATTAATAATGTTGAATAATATAGTCAAAAAAGATCCTATCTTCATTTATTATATGGAGAAGAGTGTTTTACTGGGAGCTAAACCACTC